AAGTTTATTTTAGCAGTCACATTAATTAAATATTTTCCTTTTTTTTTTGAAAAAAAAAAGGATAAAAATTCCTCTTTTATTACTTTTCCATTTATGCTCTACAATAGACCATAAAATAAAGTATTTTTACTGCGTGCCTTTACGCAGAACTCTCACAGCTTCTTAAGTCCTAGTTTTGATATAGCAACTGACAGAGATACTGGCATAGGCAGTGATTGTACATATTAATAATAAATGACATAATACATTTACAAATGACAAATTACATTTAATTAAATAAGTAATTAAATGTAATGTAAATAAGTAATTAAATAAAAATAAATTAATAATTTTGAAGAAAATGCATAATTAAATATTAATTCAAAAACATCTTTTCGCTGTCTTAACTTATAAACCTTTGTTCGCTCTTACTTTTTTTATCAATCTTTCCTTTGTCTAACTATCGTTTCCGGTGTAAGCGGAAAACTTTATGAGGAACTTAATAGGAAGAAGACGAAAGTACTTATCTTTCACAAATGAAATGATTTTGAATATTTTTGGGAAGGTCAGTAGGATCAAACCATCCTTTCGAAGAAAATTGCGATTTCCATTTATTTTTGCAATTTCTAGATTGCTATTTTCTACTACCTGATACGTAATATGTAAGTCATTTTTTAATCTATCACGCGTTATTGATATATAAATTGGTTAGACTCTTTGTTAATACAAATGTTTTACCGGAAATTTAAAATAAAAAAGAGAGAACTATCTTGTTTCTGCAAAATAAATTTCATTAATAAAATAATTATTCTGCCACGTTTTTCATTTTCGTGAAAATATGTTATGGACATCAGGAAAATTTACTTGACCGGAAAACATCTTGATTAATCATAATGCATATTTATTAAGCCTACATTAAGATTTGCTTATTTCCTGTGCTTTGAGCAAAGAGATATTCCATGACATTTAAAATGGTAGAAAAATATATGCCTTAACGCGATGTAAATGAGATCTTCCACAGCAACAATTAATAAAATATATAAATAAAACCTTATAAACTGGACGTTATTAATTTAATTTCTAGGAAAACTTCAATAATACTTTCCATTAGTATAATATTAATGCGTTGAATGTCATGGGGATCACCGGTGATCGGCACTGAGTTTGTCGTAGCGCCACGGGGTCACCGGTGACAGACGAAGCCAAAATTATTAGAAACACATAATTCGAGTAAATTTTTAAATATTATTATCGTTACTAAAATGGTTTGAAGAAATTAATGCAATATAGAGTACACAAAAATAGCTTTATTTGTATACACAGAGATGCCAACTTGATCCGGACAACGAATAAATATTTTCAAGTATTAGTTTATTAATTGTGATTCTTGGTTTAATAAATTCAATTTAGTAAATTTTATCCGCCACTATTTCTAAACGATTCGTAGGCTCATATAATTCACCACTTTTTTCATATATGTTAGGCTAAATCTTTTAAAAAACTAACAAAATCTGTCAAATTTAGTGTGCAGTTATTTATCGTTTGGCCAGACGGGCGAGTATGTAAAATTAGCTTGCATTCAACGTGTTAATATTATTAACATAGTTGAGTTCCTCAAAATATATGAAGGGTCAGTATATTGCAGGGTTGACAAATCACTTCACTTTGCGGAAATAGTTTTTCTAGTGGTAGAAAAATTTATGTTGATTCTTAGGGTAATAAATTTACTTTTTAAGTTTTGCTGCGAATCGCTATTTTTAACTATCCAAAATAATCATGCATTATGTAAAAATGCGTATTATATTAAAGTGAGTCTTTAAAAGCCCTAACAACATTAAACAAAATTAAGTATGTTTTTGTTTCTACTTCTCTACCACTTTAAATTTTTTTTTTTGGTGGATTGTGAATTTGTTCGGGTTTCTGGAATTGACAACAAAGGTTAAGCTTTATTTTATTAATTTTGTCTTCACTTAATAGTTTCACTGTTATCAGTTTACATGTAAAAGTTTTAAATTGTTTTCATACAATATTGTTTATACAAAAATTTTTTTCTTCATAATTTTCACAATTACTAAAATCCAATATTATGAGATTAAAAATAAAATAACAAAGCATAAAATATTCTACCACTTTAGATAAATAAGAAAACTCATCCGCCAAAAGTGGGAGACATTGGCAAGACCACATTTTAATGCAAAAAGCAAAAACTTCATGATTGGAATCTTAAATATTATTTTGAAATGCAAGGATTTTAACTCGTATTGTGCATGGTATTTTTTATACTAATGTTATATTAACTCGAAAATTCTTGATATTGATTTTTTAGAGGGTTTTTTTAAAATTTCATTCAGAAGTATAGAGAAGTTAAAAAAATAAAATTTTAGAGTAATTAGTAACAGTCTGAATAAATCTTAAAAATAAGACAGAGACAACATAATACTTATAAGATAATGTTAGTTAATATAACGCTAATTTAAAACAGAAAAAATGGTCTTTAAATGCAATAATAATTATTATGCTAACAATAATATAAGAGAAACATAACAATAACGAAACATGCAAGCTATAATTACAATAATAATTTTTTATCCATTTCAAGCTTTGTTGTTACATGAAAAATAAATTACAAAATAGAATAAACAACATTCAACATAATTATCTATAGTGTCGCTGTAGCTCAGTAAATAATAAGATAATAAATATTTTTCAACTCTGAAGAAAAAATATGAATATTAATTACAATTCTTTCGGAAAATTATCCTGAAAACATATCTAAGTTAGCTTGTTTTTTCGTAACTTTTCAACTTTAATAAAACAATTAATAATGAGAGTTTTAGCAATAAAAAATTAAAATGAAACCAGTGCCACATTAATCATAAAAATAGTCATTATGAGATATACTGGCCTTCATAAACGATAGTAATTAGATTATTGGTATTAACCCGAATTGCAGGGTTTGGTGACTATTTAAATAATTAAACTTTTTCTGGCATATTTCTTTCAGTTTTCTGTTAAAAACATTGGTGTCTAAAGTTTTTATTTTAAATATGAATAATTTGTAACACAAATCATAGAGGTCATTATGACTGAATAATTAAAGAAATTATAAATAAATAAGAATGAATTGAGTTTCTGCAACTTTTAATAATTTTAGTCGCCCGTGGAAATTTAAAATTCGTGAAATGTATATTTTTCTGGTATTGTCCACCATGTTCCCCCAACTTATATTCGTAATCAAGTACGAAGAAACCTCCAGGAAAGATCAGCTCTATGTAGCGACTACTTTTGGGTCGGCACGGAATGCTTTCCATAGACATTGTGTGGAAGAAAACCTCGCCCATTGACCTCGCAAAGCCTCTGAACCAAATGTGGAAAAGGTCAAATAATAAAATACGAAAAAATTTCGAAAAAAAAATATTTTCAAACAAATAATTAGATTAAAATGTATTCAAGATATTTGTGTGAGGCCTTTATTTGATGGACAGCTCTCTTTGACAATATTTGAAAGAGATCTACAACCTCATGTTGCAGTCAAAGTGATCAATGATATATTTTATTGATATATTCTCATTTACTCATAATTATATCAGTTGGCACATTATTTTTATTGAAGCTAAATTTTATTCATCGATCCGGTTTTCTTAACGCCAACAACACAGGTAGCCTCTCTGCACCAAGAAAATGATATTGATTAAAATTAAAATCATTTTCGAAAAATCGTGTACTTTCGATAACATTTTGAAGTCAATGGAAGTAACTCCTAAGAGCAACCAACCTCCATTAACGACCATTTTCCTGAGGAACAGAGAGTCTCCGCTCCCTTGAGGTTTCACTGTATTTAGAAACTGTTATATGAAACTCAATTATTTCTTAAAAATGTTATAGAAATTTATCTCTATAGGTCTGGATAATGGTGGCCGTAAAACTGAGCTTTTTTATAATTGTGACGTCTTCGTATTTCATGAGATCTTCTGGAAGTAAGTACTTTTAACTTTTTTCAGTGAGTAAATCAGTATTTAAATCACTTTAAATTACAATTTTATTTATAGAAATTAGTAAGTGCGTAGATAGCAACTTAGTGACATAAAAGTTCCGAATTTTACTCATTCATGCAAATTTAATCATTCACGCAAGTGCAGGCTTTTTAAACCATTAAGTTGCCGTTACTGTGAAGGTTTTTGGAAAAGATTAAGAGGGTTTGTTGTTGCAAATGCCTCTTGAAAATATACGCAAACCTGCTTGAAATCAAGTGAATTTTTAAGACAGAAGATGCATATCTTGTTTTTCAGTGACGCCATCTATGGCCATGTGGGGATGGCGTGTCGTAAGGAAATAAAAGGTGCTGGCGGAAGCTCAATATTTATGTGAATGGTATCGCACGATATTCACCAGTTTAAAGGAAGTGAATTTGTTGACTCTGTGCTACATGGCCAACAGACAACATAGAAGACGACATCTGGATTTTACACGAGGTCGTATCATTAAAAAGTTGGAAGAAAGTTGAAATATGGCCGATGTGGCTGCAGAGTTCGGGAACACCCACAGTATCGTTTCACGAGCTCGGAAGAGATTTCAAAGAATAGGAACAGCTATCTGAAGGTTTAGTAGAGGTCGTTCTCGCACGACCACGGCAGCTGATGACTGGTATATAGTCCTACAGGCTAAAAGGAGCAGACGGCTAACGGCAGAAGAAATTGCTGGGCACACACAACAAAGTATTGAAAGCACAATATCGCATCTCCCCGGGGCCAGGAGTAGGATAATCGATTTGCACGATAGCCAGTACGGTCTGTTCCATTAAGGCCAGTTCTCCGGAGACGCCGTTTAATGTGGTGCAGAGGATACAACAACTGGACAGATGCGCAATGGGCCCCAGTACTCTTTACGGATGAGAGCAGATTTTGTCCGATCAGTGACTTTGGACGCATGCGCATCTTAAGAGAGCGGGGAACACCAATCCCTCTAACATAATCGAAAGAGACCGATTTGGAGGAGGCGGAGTTCTTGTATGGGGCAGTATCATGTTTGCCACTCTTACTGATATACACATCTTCCAAGGTGGTTCTGAGTTTATCTTCATATACGATAATGCTACACATCATCGTACGGTGGCTTTCACGGAACTGCTGGAGAATGAAGATATTACACGCATGGATAGGCCGGTGAGGTTCCCGGATTTTAATCAGATTGAACACGCGTGGGACACTCTAGGGAGACGTTTCGTAGCAAGTCCACAGCTGCCAGCAACGATTCCGCAGATGCAATTAGCACTACAACAGGAATGGGCGTCATGTCCTCAGAGCTTCTTAACAGCCTGGTCTTGAGCATGAGTAGACGATGTCAGTCCAGTATAGCATCCCGTGTAACATCTCGTGTAACATTGACATTTTGGTCAGTTTTATAATTGTGTTTTAAGCCTATATTTCAATGAAGTTCCTCATTGTTCCAGTGGATTAAATTTTTTTTTAGTTCCCATATTCCAAAATTTTTAGGATCCTATTGTATGGTTTTTATCCAATTTCAATACCGAGGTTCTAACTTACATTCGAAAAACCACTTCGTTCTTAATTTTTGCACACCAGTGTATAAATACGACGTGGGAGAAGTTTAGATAAAGGCGCCTAGAAAGTTGATATTTTATAACAGCTACCACACAGTATACTGAATACTAAAAGTTTTTACTTCAACTACTCATAAAATCATGATGGATGGGATAGGGGCCGCTGCGCTGCCAGGTGTCCAGCTAAGTTAAATAAACAAGACGAAGAAAGTTGATATTTTTCATAAAAAGTCAATTTTTTTCATATGCATGACATTAAATTTATTTCGAAATTTCATGTCCTTCTTTTTTGAAAAGAAATTTATTATTTAATATTTTAAATAATAGGTATATCGATCGTTTCAAAGCAAATATGAAATTTTAGTTTGTCGTGAGATTTTTATTTTAAAGCTCAATTCACATTTTTGATTTAAAAATATAACATCTTTAAGGTTCACTGATTTTTAATTTTATTTTTTTCAACATGTTCCATCAATTTTACAGAAAATATGCTTTTAATATTAATTATTAATTAAATAATTTAAAAAATATTAGAGGCGTAATTAACTAAAATACAAAAGAGAAGAATCAATAATTTACAAAAGAAATAAACTTAATATTAATAAAAGAGGCACAGGATCTTCGTTTAAAATAAAAATAAATAAATTTAATAATGAAACAACTTGTGCCCAATATAAAGAAAAATGATTTAATCAATATCAATAACACATGAAATTTTAAAACAATTGTTTTGATATTAAAATGAAACAATTTATTATTTATGATAAATGGATCAATTATAATTATAAATGAATATATTATTATTATAAATGAATCAATTTATTAACAGTGTTGGAAAAATTTATTTTGTTGTACTCTGCTTTGTTTATTGATTGTTGCATCCTAGATAAGAGTTCTGTTATGGTTGGAGAAATTTGTGGTATAAGCTTCAGTAACATCATATGTGTTACTCTAGATACGGAAAATGTTTTTAAAAGTTTGTAACATGATTTTTTTTATCAAAATGTATTAAATGTAAAGCAGGATGTGATATTAAATGTAAAATAAGACTTTTTCGTTGGAAAAATAGATATCAATTCATAATATGAACTTTTACTTTTACTTTTATTTAAACAAAACTGGGTGCCTAGGCCGCGCAGCGGCCCCTACCCCATTCATCATGAAAATTATATACAGTGAATAAAACATTTTGAATTATGTAACAATGTGGTAACATTATAATAAAGTAACCTGTTCTGAATATC